TCTCTCTCTCTCTCTCTCTCTCTCTCTCTCTCTCACGCACACTTTGTTGTTTTTGAAAACCTTTTTGCTCCTTAGTAATGTGTTCATTATTCTGTGTTCACAGCTGTGGTTTCCAGGCTCTGATTCCAGAAGAAACACTCAGTGTCCCTTAAAAGAGAGAGCGCTGCCACGTGAGTCATCTGATATTTGTGGATGCAACTCTGTGTAAAGATCATGCACAGTATATATAGATATCATTAGTGTTGACGTGCATAATTGAAGTGATAACTCCACCAGAACATCATGTCAGCTCCTCCACAGGAGAGAAATTCACTGAGCCTGATCCAAATGAACTCTCCATCTGATAGACGGGTACAGATGGTGAAGAATAAAATGTCACCACGTTTGGTAAAGTCAATGTGCAGTGTGACAACAGTGTGACTCTTGTGACAAGCTTCCTTACATTCCGGCTGAACTCGAAGGCAGTGTGACATTTATCGATCACAAAGAAGGAACTGCTGTGCAATGAAAAAATTCAAAGATGGCTGGTAAAATGAGAGACTATTAAAACTGAACTGCTGTATTATATCTTTATGAGTTGGAGCGTGAGGAACACTGTTCACACAGTGAGCTGCTGCCCGTTTCTCTCTTAACTGTACACGAGTCGGCTCCGTAGGTTCTGGACCTGGTCTTACTGTTGTCTAATGTAAGCAGTATCTATGGTGTGGCTGACTGACAGAACCGTCTCTGTGCCGCTCGCTCCTGCAGGTGGAGATGATATCTTGTCCTCGAGCTCTGCTACAGTTCGTGGCTCTGTTCTGCGTTGGGAGCCTCTCTGCCCCGCTGACCAATCAGATCCCTCTGCCTCTGTGTGCTGGCGAATCCACACGCAGAACTCTTACTGTGTCCCCGCCCCCAACGCCAGCCTCCATGGGACGAAACTGGTACGTGACGATCCCACGATCATCATAAGTGCACTGATGAACAGAGGTGGCATACTGAGTTCAGACTTACTGCATACTGTGCATAGTGCACATGTCAATAGTACATGAAACAGTAGGTCATATGCAATGATTTAGACAGCAGTATGTTACATTGTCCTGACATGACCTCATTGTTACATATTTTGTGTAAAAATAGTTTTTAACAGTCCAATCAAATGCGTCAAGAAAGACCTTCTCTCCCTAAAAATGCAACGTCAACTTGGATGCATTGCATATACTGTACATTTTGTCACTGAAGTATTTTATGCATGCTTTGCCCAGTATATTGCCCAGCAGTATGTTATGCTGAACACAGCCACTGAAAGCCTTTTGCTCTTTCAACAGCAATATAACGTGTCTGCTGTAGATAGACACCCTCAGATGTGTGTGAAGGTAACGCATGCTCCAGCACACATTAATGCATGTTTCAAATGTTCATGTTTCTCATGTGCATGTGATGTTTTGGTTGCAGTTTTCTCTAAATGGCAGTCGTCGAGTGTTCTGTCCGTTCGAGTCAGGTGAGGAGTGCGTGAGCGAGTGTGATGAAGAGTGCTGATGTCTGTCCTCCTGTCTGACTCTTCTGTCTGCTCTCTCTGTCAGAGGGCCGCTCCGAGTGGAGCGTGATGGTCGTTCCTGGATCCCTGCACCTGCACCTGCACCTGAGGTCCAGCGTCGCTGCGTCGTTTGCTGCTCAGCTGTGCGCCAGACGGGGAGAGACGTGTTCATCTCAAGGAAGCATCGTCTCACAGCGGGTGGTTCGTAATAGATTTCCTTCTGTTTAAAGAGTTTCATTGCACATTCAGTTAGTGTTTGCATTCAGCAATGCATGAGAAAGAATGTGAAAGATTCTCGTATGTAAAAAGTCTGTGAGCATCTGTTGCCAAAGACCCTGACACATTTGTCCTTTGTTGTGTATTATAGGGTAGAATGTGCTTATATTGGCTTTACATCTATAAAGTTTTAAAGTGGACAGAACACACATCTCATGTTAATCTTGAGTACCTACAGAGCAGTACTTGACCTTCATATCTCTGAAGAGTCTTTAGTTTGATCAGATTTATAAAAGACAGACAGCTTTACGCTCCTCTCTGAAAACCGTCGGGCTCCTGGAGGCGTGTCGTGGGCGGAGCTAAAGCTGTCACGTAGCGATCGTCTGCAAGCTGTGACATCGACATCAATAAAGCAGGAACAAAAACTTTATTGACTTTATTGTTATTTGTTTCTCGAGCATTCGTCACTGAAACGCCGGGAACAAACAAACACACTTGTGTAACTGTTGCTGCTCCGGAGAAACGACCTGCATCCACTGTGTTCACTACCGCTGGGCTCTTTGGGAAGCTGAACAAGGTTCTCTTTCCCTCGCAACCAAAAACACTCTTCTTTGGAGACATTGTTCTGTGCAGCGCTGCTGAATGAAGCACGTTGATGGCCGTCTCTCGCTCGCGCTCTGGTCGATGTTTGCTCTTCCGGGAGAATCCCGCCCTTCATGATGTCATACAGGGCCTTGTCTTTCCCAAAAAATCTTTCGCAAACTTATCCGAACCCTGAAGGAGTGTATTTGGCACCGAAATTCTCCGGCATACATCCAACTCGTTTTTTGAAACGGTAACAGTGTAAATAACGCAGAATGCATGAGATAGCATTAGACCCCCCCCCCCCCTCACCTTTAAATGACATTTTAAATATATTATTCAATATTTTAAAAGTTGTTGGAGCCTCGATGTTTTAGTAGTAATAGCCGAATATAGAATATAACCGATTTCTTATATAGCTGTTCTTGCTTTTTTTCTCATGATAATTACAAATATTCATTTCAACTCAAATGTGGTAAGTAGCTGTGCAATAATGTACAAGGGGTGTGTTGTTATGGCAAAATAAAGCTTCAGTGTGATAGAAGATAACTGCTTGTCCCTCACACACTGCACATACTGCTCTCCTCAGGATGAGGACGCCACTGAGGCTGAGCTGAGCGTGCCCTTCCCCTTCCTCTCATCTGGACTGTGTGTGCAGGTAATGCCTTTCACTTACAGTCTGTCCGTTCAAACTCTTTACTGTTCATCTCTGCATATGTCGTACTAGCTTAGTTCTCATACTGTTTCTGCTGTATATAGTGAATGAGCTGCAAAGAACACTGTGACGTATCCCACAGTGCATGAATGAACTGGAAGTGATATCAAACACAATTTTTGGCATGAAAAATGTATAAATGTTTATGCAAAATAACTATTTATTTACATTGATTAAATGTGCAATGTATTGACTACAATGTAGCATACTACTGTTTCACATACTATTTTCTAATAATAGGCACTATACATATCCACTATTGTTCAAAATGTTGCACTCAGTCAGTTGTTGCAGCTCATTGATAATAATCAGAAATGTTTCTTGAGCAGCAGATCAGTATATTATACTGATTTCTGAAGATCATGTGACACTGAAGACTGGAGGAATGATGCTGAAAATACAGCTGCACATCACAGAAATACATTACAGTTCAACACATATTCACATAGAACACAGTTATTTTACAATGTAAAAATATTTCAGTTTTTCCTGTATTTTTGAGCAATGCTTTTTCAAAACACTGAAATATCTCCCCAACCCCAGAGCCTCTGTCTGTCTGTATGCGTGTGTGTCAGCTGATCTGCTGCTGTCTGTCTGTAGGTGTGGCGCTTGGATCTCCGTGGAAGACGAATCATTTGCCCTGACTGTAAGTAGAAACATCTCTAATCATTAGAGCACACTTGCCGACAGATGGATGTAAATAGTCGTACTCATCCCAAGCCTTCACAGTCACACACAGGCGATGGGGTCTCATCACTGGCACTGCATTGGCTCTTCTGGCTGCGGTGACCGTACTGGTCTGCATCACGTGCTACCTGGTCAAAGGAATCACATCAGGTCAGTCCATAGACATTTCTATTTGATTTTAGGCCGGAAGCATGCTCTATGAAACTACTCGTACACAAAACGCTTGGTATATGCAATTTGTTGGCCAATTTGTTAAAAATGTTATCCTGACCCTGGTTAATTTCTGTGAGAGAGGATAAATGTATTTGTTTCTGCAGTGTGGCGGAGCGCTGAAAGACGTCCCGTGCTGCTGGTGTGCTCGTCTGATCATGCCGCGCACATCGCTGCCGTCTGCAGTCTAGCCTCCGGCCTGCAGGGGGAGCTCTTCGTGGACGTGAGGCTGGCGCAGTGGGCATCCTCTCTGGCTCAGCTGGGACCCGTGCCGTGGCTGTACGGACAGTGTCAGGCGGTGCAGAAGGTGGGCGGTCTCGTCCTGATCGCCTGGAGCCCTGACGCCCTTCAGGCTTTTCTGAGACGGACGAAGAGCGATAGGGTCGTTGGATCGGAGTTCTCTGAGACTGGTCTTTATAGTGCTGTTGCAGAGGAAGAGCAGAAGAGCTGTGATGGAGAATGGATGGAGAAGCCAGTGGAGTCGTCTTCTATCACGGCTCCTGTGTTCAACGCCGCCCTCTCCTGTCTGTGGACGGGATTACACAGCGATGGCCACGCCAGGGGGTTTGGACTGGTGTGCTTCCAGGGCCTTAACAACAACAACAGCAGCAGCACTTACATCCCAAAACAGCTCCGCTGTGTCCCAAAGTACTGTCTCCCGAAGGACCTGTCCTCTTTAATACACGACCTGGGAGAGCCCACAAGAGCCCACGGGAGTGGCCGATGTTGGCCACGTCTTCTGTCCAAAACGCTGTCGTTCTTCATGTCGCGTCAGCTCGTGCCCAGACTAGAGGCAGGACTCCCTGGGCCGGGTTTTCCCAAGAGCTCACGGAAATTAGTGCGCGGTACAAAGTGGAAGACGTGGAGGCAGAAAAAGCGGCGAAGTAAAGTGGTATCTGGGTGTTTGTCCAGAAAGGAATGCTCAAAGAAACATACTGCGCCAGAGCTACTAGGAGCTGCACACACGTCACTGAAATCATAGCAGGGTGAAGCGGCTTCTCTCTCTGACTGAACTCACTCTGTCGTCTTGTTCTTTGCATGCACCGGTACACAGAGGGAAGGAGAAAGCCAATTCAGAGGCATCAGAGCAGAGGTGAGTCCAGCTTTACAGTCTGTCCAGCAGGGGGCAGAAACATCAAACTGTTGCCTTCAAGTCTTCCTGTGAGGTTCCTGGTAAACCACTGGCTCTGGACGATTCTAGACGATGCTTGAAACTTCGTATTGTTAGCACTTCTCATGTCATTGCCTGCTTAAGATGAATCACTTGTTGTATTGATATACCAGACACTTTTATCCAAAGCGACTTAAAAAGAATGAAATGAACTCCCAGCAAAGACTCTGGTTTGCATGGCTTCTGCTCTGGTTTTTCTAAAAATGAAACGCACCCAACCTGGAAAGTCTGGACTCAAAGGAAACCTACTGGTAACTGTGACATTATGGTGCTGTTCACATATGATCATTCTGACAGCTGAAGGCAGCAATAAATATCCAGTAAGCATTCCCTCGAGGGAAGAACCAGTGCTGGCTGAAGACATTCTCCAGAAGAAGAAGAATTCATGAAAACATTGTATTTTTGTATAAAGACCTGCTTCAGAGGACTTGTATTTGTATTGTACCACTGAACGTCAACACCTTGGAACAAATGTTAACCAGAATCAGCAATTCTGTGTTGTAAATAAATGCATCAAACATTCAAACTCTAGTTTAGCTGATTATTATTGTACCACAGCCCAGTTTAATATACTCCGACACATGATGTTTACTCTCGGTCTTTGTACAGCAAAAACCCAACTTGTAAAACTGTTTTCATGTGGTCACAATGATCTTCTCATAATTTTTTCCCCTTCAGAATCAGGAACCCTCTGGGACCAATCTGACCAACAGTAAAATGCATGCAAATTCATCAGTGAAGCAGCAAGAGCGCATGTTTACGTGCATCAGAAAATTAATAGAAAGTAAGATACAGGGAGTCATCGATATGTTCTCCGAAAGCTATTTTCCCCCTAGAGCTATGCTGCGATCACAACTGTTATGTTAGTGACATGCTACCAAACAAGTCTTCTCAACGGCCTGACAAGCTTGCAGATGCATCACGTGTCAGCAGAGTGTTACGGCACCTGTCCGTCTCGATAACTGAAAGCTGGAGGTTATGCAAAATATACCAAAACTCTCATTTTATCAACAGCCTTCATCCATTTGCACCCACAGCAATGTCCCAGAGACGGAAAGCGTGTTAGGTTTTGGTAAGTTTCATGGCTTCTAGAAGAACATTACAAAACAAACCAATGATGGAGTAAGTGTTCGACTCATTTGGGTTTTTCAGTGATCGATTTGGTCTCCACAACCTTGATTATTTGCTAATGATTATTTATTTGATCCTTTTCTTGGACTGCGACAGAAAACCCTTCCTATATTAAAGGGGTCCTACTATGCTCTTTTACAAGGTCTTGATTTTGTTTTGGGGGTGTACTAGAACATGCTCTCATGCTTGGTTCGAAAAACGCATTATTTTTCACATAATTTACATTATTAAAATACCTTTCTCCCCAGCCTGGCACAAACGGCTCGATTAGTTCCGGCTTTGATGAAGGTCCGCCTTCCGAAAAACAAAATGTGTTGTGATTGGTTAGCTGTCCCAGTGCGTTGTGATTGGCGAACAGCTTAGACGGTGTTTCAGTACTGCCACGCCCCCTTGTTCCGTCTTTCAACAAAAGCTTTTTTAGGGCGAATCCAGCACTGTACTCCCTCATGTTGTGGAAGCTGTCCTCAGTAAAATGCGCAGCACACAATAGCAAATTGGGGTTATAATGCTCAGGACCGGAGTTAAAAAATAAATTGCAACCACTGTTTCCTGACATCATCCGCTTTCGGAAGGTGATTTCCTCCGCTTTCACGGAGGTGAAAAAAACAGCGTTTCTTAAGGTGGTCACACACCGGGCGAGAAGCGCAATGCAGCGTCACGCCACGTCTTTAAAATTTGAACACATTATTTTCTATGAGTGTAGGCAGTAAAATGCGCAGCACACAATAGCAAATTGGGGTTATAATGCTCAGGACCGGAGTTAAAAAATAAATTGCAACCACTGTTTCCTGACATCATCAGCTTTCGGAAGGTGATTTCCTCCGCTTTCACGGAGGTGAAAAAAACAGCGTTTCTTAAGGTGGTCACACACCGGGCGAGAAGCGCAACGCAGCGTCACGCCACGTCTTTAAAATTTGAACACATTATTTTCTATGAGTGTAGGCACACCGGTGGCGCCGTTCGGCGTCTGTCCGCGGCGCCCAGCTACGTCGTGTTATACTTGTTGTAAGAATTGTTCTAGACGCGGCGCTGATGGTGCGTTCAAGTCATGTCGGATAGATCGTATTTACGAGTTGAATGCACATGAATGCCACCACAAAGTCGTTATTACGAGTGGGAAACTCAACATTTTCTTTAAGCCCAGAGTTTCCGAGTTGGGGGCGTGTCAATGAGAAACATGGCAGAATCGATGGATGCAACGTCTGTAGTTGACGGTAAATTTTTGTTTAAATTGATAGTTTAGTTGTCCTATAAACTTAAATTGGTCATGTTCTTGTTACACAGCTGAAATCCAAGTAAAAAAATTCAGACCCTGTTATATTTTCTTGTAATTAATTAAAAGAAGGTACACCGCCATCTTGTGCCGACTAAACTGACTTGAACGCACCTGACGTCGTAATTACGATTTGTCAACTCGTAAGTACGAACGTCCCAGGAGAACTTGAACGCAGCATGAGCTTCTCTCCGTCTCCGGTGTGAGACCGCCTTTAGACATGCTGAAAACTTGATGCTACAGCAGCTCTTCTTCTTGGTTTTCTCTGATGCACTAACTCTGCAGCAGCACTTCATTCTGTGGGAATTCTTTGTAATGATATTCTAATGAGCCGCTTTGTGACATCACAAAGCCCGGAAAACAAACACTGTAGTCCAAAATAGCCATTTGCTGTAGTTCTTGAAAATTGATTTTTTTTAAACGAAATATCTCCCTTTGGAGTGGACTTTGAGATTTGTAACTTTCTAGGTCTTTTTAATGCCCAAACATACACACTACACACTGACTAAAATTTAAAAAGTGAAAAAGCGTAATAGGACCCTGTTGAGTAATAATCATGTTCCTTATAATGTAAGAGTTTGCAAACGTGCCAGCGTTGCTTGTACACATGAGGGGAGAAAGCAGGGATTTGTCTGGTGAAAACTGTTGGTTGGAGAAGAGAGGTTGAAAAATAAGAGAGATTGGTGACATCGGCTGAAAAAGTTAAGTTGAATCAGCGAGTTACTACGTTCTGACAAAAGATTACAAATACAACCTTGTTTTTTTCTTTGGACTAAGATGCACTGAGGAATGGCTTGCAGTAAGAGGGGAAATAGAGCTAAACTGACCTGATCTGTATCTCAAGGTAAACATGAAGTGCCATTTCCAGCCCACTGCACTTCTATAATCATGACGCACTGAGACAAACATTCAGCTGAAAGAAATGTGGGAGGATGAAAAGATTGTGACAACAGCTTATTTGATATAATAAAACATAAAATGCACAATTTAATCAGAGCAGATGATCCGCCCTACATTGTGTTTATGCACAGATGCTTGAATGACATCTGACATCTATGGTGGGATAGTAACTTTATTTTTATTTGATAACCACTTGACTGAGCCGGCTGAGCTATTCTACTTAAGAAAGTCACATCTGAAACCAAATAAGCAAATGATAAGAGTTTATCATTTTGGCCTGAGCACATCTCTAGCTCTAGCTAACAATGTGTTTGAAAATCAACACTTTAATTTATTAATGGTTACATGAAGATATTATCCCAAGTTAACCGGTTCCTGTGGCCCTGAACTATCACAAACATTGTGTTGGACACATACTCGGTGTTCAGCTGGTGTTCAGGCAGACACACACTATAGTTTGGTGTTTCGCAATACACAACAGCTTCTAAGATGTAAACTGAGTGCTTCAGGATTAGTTGGTGAATTTGTACACTGCGGCTGAGCTATTCTACTTAAGAAAGTCACATCTGAAACCAAATAAGCAAATGATAAGAGTTTATCATTTTGGCCTGAGCACATCTCTAGCTCTAGCTAACAATGTGTTTGAAAATCAACACTTTAATTTATTAATGGTTACATGAAGATATTATCCCAAGTTAACCGGTTCCTGTGGCCCTGAACTATCACAAACATTGTGTTGGACACATACTCGGTGTTCAGGCAGACACACACTATAGTTTGGTGTTTCGCAATACACAACAGCTTCTAAGATGTAAACTGAGTGCTTCAGGATTAGTTGGTGAATTTGTATAAGACCAATATAGTAACTGTGCTGTGCGTGACTAGCAAACATGCATGCAAAACAGCACACTGCACACCATAAACAAGCCGATTCTGAGGCCTGAGAGCTTGTGGACAGTCAGTTCTCTTCACTCAACGTAATGATGATGCCTTTTTGAGGACAGCAGTCTTTGCTTTGTTTCGAGTAGTTTTGCTCATATCAAAGGCAAACTAAGCAAGAATACAGCCAACAAGTGACCGTGTTACTGCAAATACCCAAATTATGCTTTAAATATAGTCTGTAAGGCAAAACTATCCTGTATGTAGTAAGAAGAGTAAATGCTGACGTTTGAAATCAGAGACCAGTGGTGGTCTGAGAACAGCACTGGTGTGTTATTTTACATTGAAATGGGAAACTGAAGAAACTGCTGCATGACTGCCACCAATGCTGCAAGAATTTAATTGTAATTATTACAGTAACTGCCTGGATTTGATGAATACAGAAAGAAAAATCCATTTCAGTTTCAATTTAAAAGTACTTTATTGGCATGATTGAGTTTACATACAATATTGCTAAAGCGCATACACAAAACAGGTAGCGACATTGTAACACTAACAAAAAAACAGTACAAAAAAAAGGTGCAAAGTAATGAATAAAAATATAATACTAAAAAACATGTATACATTTAAATAATATATGAATGAACATTTATCCAGGCATTATGAAAACAAAATACTGTAATATATAAATATAAAATCTATAATAAAATAGTGGAAGACATGGTTAGGGCTTGTCAGTGAGATACAGTAGTCTGCCGGGCTGTATGAGTGTAGAGTGCACTGTTTCTGAGTAAGTGTTTGTGTAAGAGTGTGAGGTGTTTGTGCTGTTGGGTGAGGAGGAGGAGGAGGAGGAGGAGGAAGCTTGTTCTTCTGAACAGTTCCCTGTCGAAGCAGCCGCTCCTGAGGAACACAGGTGAGTCTCTCCTCCTGATCTACAGCTGCTCTATCATACTTTAAATGGCTTCATAAACGGCCATGAAACATTGTACATAAACACACACAGAATACTGCAGCTTTCATTTCTTTCAAATTGCTTTATACATATTTATATGCTTTATATATGTTATATTATACTGTTATAAGATAGTTACATGTGTGGATTGTGTGTTCAAATAGAGATTCTTTTCACTGTAAAAATATGATCAAGGGAAAAAAGTTCAGCAATGTTATACAGGATTCAACTTTTTATTTTTTATTTTTTTTTAAGTCAGTTTAATTTAAGTTGAGGTGACTTAGATGCATTGATTGTGCTTACAAATTAAAGGCTGTAACTTTTTTTCTAAGTATTGATGCTACAAATTAATATTTGATTTGGCAGAAGCCATAGATCCAAAAGCTTTAAACTCTCTCTCTCTCTCTCTCTCTCTCTCTCTCTCTCTCTCTCTGTCTCAGAACGAGTGGCGGGAGCTGTTGAGTTAGTTTGAATCAGACAGCATCTGTGTGTGTGTGTGTGTGTGTGTGTGTGTGAGCACTGTGTCGTATTGAACCAAACCGTGAATTTTGTGAACCGTTACACCCCTAATATATATATGTGTGTGTGTAGTTAACGCACACAAAACATGATTAATTGATTTCAAGCATTGCGCTCATTTGTTTTGGTGTTAATCTACTAAATAGCAGCAGCAGTGAATGTTAATTCTAGAAATTCCAGAAATCTCTCTGGCTCCAGCAGAGTTTTGGCCGTATCATTTCAGGCGCTCTCACTGCCAGTAGCGTCCCTTTTCCATCTGTCTGAACTTTTCTTCCTTTCTCTATTCGTCTCTTTCCATCTGTCTCAGTCATTTTATTCTCTCTCTCTCTCTGATGGATGTAATGTGGGGGTTGAATGGAGAGATCGATCAGGCGCTGTGCGTTGAAGCAGTCAGGCTGCTGGGCCTCTGCGAGCGCAGATTATTTCCCAAATTATTACAGCCGCCAGATGCTTGTCAGAAGACTCTCTCCGTCAAGGTTAGACTCTCTCTCTCTCTGCCTCCCTCTCTCTCTGACTCAGAACGAGTGGCGGGAGCTGTTGAGTTAGTTTGAATCAGACAGCATGTGTGTGTGTGTGTGTGTGTGTGTGTGAGTGAGAGAGAGAGCGTCATGAGTGTGTGGACCCTGCTGCTGCTGCTCTCTGTGGCGCTCTGGGTCTTCACTCGGGCGCTGGAGAGGGCCGAGCTCCACGCCGGTCATGCGCTCACCTGTGGACAGGTACAGTACGAGCAACACGGCTGGCTTCCTAGCTAGACTGTTCACTTTTAAAGTTATTAATAATCGATGATATCGAGACTAAAGTAGCTTCAATTAGCTGAAGACATAAAACTGTTTTAAACATGCTTCAGTCCTGCTTTCTAACAGTTGTTAGTGTAGTACAGTTGACTCTCTGCAGTTCCAGACATGTTTCTACATGGATACAGTTACTGGGAATCTGGCTGTTTGCTGTGGGGCAGTGAGTGTGTGAGTGCGTGGGTGTGAGTTTTAGGAAGTTAAACATTTCCTTGTTTGCTGTGGAGAGTTGTGTGCATGTGTGCAGTTCTTCGGCATGCGCGCACACACGCATGCGCTCAGTGTGTTCTCTTGCAAAGCCAGCAGAGACATGCGACAACAATTATCTACAACAATCTATGCATATCACCACTTAAATACCACTACATTTGCTTGTGTTGATTAGCTGATTGGCATGTCACCATATTCTCATTTGTTGAGATAGTGAATTGGTGGGTTTTTGTTAAATGTGAGCCAAAATCATCACAATTAAAAGAACCAAAGACTTAAACTACTTCAGTCTGTGTGCATTGAATTTATTTAATACACGAGTTTCACAATTTGAGTTGAATTACTGAAATAAATGAACTTTTCCACGACATTCTAATTTATTGAGATGCACTTGTAACTGTAATACAGTGTTGTTTTGCTTAAATGACCGTAATACAAATGTAATTATTTTAGATTTCATCCCTGAGTAGATGTAACCATCATTAAAGTTAAAATGCAAAATTAGAATGCATTAAGTCTTAATTATCCTAAAATATAGGTGTTATTCTCTCTAAGCAAAAAAAAGATTTTGTCATGAAATATTTTTGTCATGTGATATATATGTCTGTGTGTGTTATAAATATTATTTATGTAAGTGATTTCTGTTAGTGTGTTAATGTGACTGAATCTTTGTCCATTGTTTTGTCTCTGTAGGGTATAATTTACTGCGAAGTAAAATCAGGTAAGAAAACCTAGATATGAGTGTATGACGGATGTTTCACCATGACCGGCAGAACTGTGCACTTCACTGCCTTCATTTGTCTAACTGTCTTGTCTTAGGTGGCCACACGTGCATTCAGGATGATGAGCATGTCTATGTGAGCAGTCTAGACGCCTACATCGTGCAGTGCCAAAAGCAGCAGACCTGGAGCTTGTGCCTGAAAGTCCTGGTGAACGTCACAGTCAGAGGTGCGTCATCGTTGTTGGTTTGGTTTCTCTGACCAGCAGGATTATTTCTTGAGGTGTGTTGATGCTGTGTTAGATGCAGATCAACCTGTGATGGGTGATGGCAGTGGTAGTGGTGATGAAGAGGCAGAGGTAGAAATGCATGAAGGCGCTCATCAAGAAGACCTTGTCAACATGACGTCTGCTGACGCTGCTGTTCGTGTGTGTTACACGTACTCTTCACAGAGCCACTCCAGCATGCTCCGGTTCACAGTCCGTTCTTCAGCGTTTGATGACAAAGCTACACTGCAGGTCAACAGATGGTCTATCTATCTATCTGTCTGTCATCACATACCAATGGTCTACCAAGCAGAACACCTTAGCAACACTCTAGCAACCACATTTCAACTTTCAAATCTCTTTCATATCTCTCTTAGATCTGCTCAAGTATTCAGATAAGATAATGTTTGCATAATTTTCAAACTGCAAGTTCTCTCAAGACTAGACTTACAGCCTCAGCTTCAGACATTTTTCAAATTTTGGGCAAGGCTTTGTCAAGCTACCATTATATTTAAACCTTTTGTAGTTGCACTGGATGAGCTGATTGTTTCAGGTGTATGTGTCGTAGGTGTGGATGTCTTTAGTGGTGGAGATACCGGAGGCAGAGCTCGGCAGTTCTGTCGTAGTCCATTCTTCATGCACTAACTCATGCACTCATGCACAAACTAAACTTGTCAATCTTCCTTCAATAGAGGAAGGTAAATATGCCATAAAACATGCACGCCTCTTTCACTAAGTATTTGAGACACATAAATGACTGCTGAACATTCGTTGATGGATGGCACCAATACATTTTTCTCTTTCAGTGTGTTCCAAGGGTTTAGATGCCATCTTCTGTAAGGGTAAGTTAACAGGTGTCCAGTTTAACTGTCTAGTTTGTGACTGGTAGAGTGACAATAATAAAGTTGCAGATCACAGGTTCGATTCCCAAGGCATCATGCATCCTGATGAAGCGTGTAGTTTGAACGCACTGTAAAGACTAGTTCATACTGCTTCAGTCAATGCCAACAAACTTTGTGTAAAAAGCAGCAACTGTAGCTACCCTGAAACCAAACACTATCCATTATGGAAAAGTTTACCCAAATGAGAAAATTCAGTCATATCGGGCAGGGCAGGGGAAAGTCACAGGTTACTGGTGTAGTGTCATAAAAGTACATATTGTTTATTTCTTATGAGTAGGAAGTATTATATACAGTACATGTAGTGGGGTTTTTCAAATATTTCAGCAACAATAAAAGTTAGATTCTTCAGCGTCACACCCTGGCAGCATATCATGAATATATACCAAGAAAACATGACTTTTAAAAAAAGTACTTATTTTCTAAATCGTCTAAGTGTGCAATAGCACCGAAAGATAATTTGGGTGGCTCGAGAAATTCCTTTAAATCAGTAATTGCATAATTTACATATGATGTATTTACAGATCATACAGTGCCCTCCACAGTTGATACCCATATGGCAGATATGAGCTAAACAAACCATAGAAAAATTTCTTTAATTCAAAAATCTAACTTTTTATTAAAAAGTTGTATTTGTAATTAAAATAAAATATAAACTCAGCAAAAAAAAAAAGGTCTCTCAATTCCAACTGCTTTTATTTCCTGCTAATTTCTTAATGTATTAATATTTGAATATTTTTTAAGAAAGGGAATAAGAAAGTGTGGGGCGGGGTGAGCATCTCATCCTCATGGACTGCACCAGATTTGCCAGTTCTTGGCAGGATTATGGCATGCTAATGCAGGTGATCAGGAACCCTGACATCTTTCTTCTAGTGGTTTTGAGTCAGCAGAAAGGTCTTACTGTCCAAAATTATTATAACTGTGAGCTTAATTGCCTGCTGGAAGGTCCGCGGCCCAGTTTTAACTTTGTGACAGGGTCATTTAGATGCTGATTTAATATCTGTTGGTACTTGATGGAACATGTCTCCCAACAAGATGTCCAGCGCCTCCACCATACTTTATCACAAAGCTGGACTCAGTAACTAGGGAGGAACCAGTGGGAATCAGGAATCAGGAATCCAAGAAATGCAAGGAACAAAACTAAGCACACCAACAAGACATCCATACATGGACAAGAGCACAAGAAAACACAAGGGCTTATATACACTGGGGTTAAGAGCATCTCATCCTCATGGACTGCACCAGATTTGCCAGTTCTTGGCAGGATTATGGCATGCTAATGCAGGTGATCAGGAACCCTGACATCTTTCTTCTAGTGGTTTTGAGTCAGCAGAAAGGTCTTACTGTCCAAAATTATTATAACTGTGAGCTTAATTGCCTGCTGGAAGGTCCGCGGCCCAGTTTTAACTTTGTGACAGGGTCATTTAGATGCTGATTTAATATCTGTTGGTACTTGATGGAACATGTCTCCCAACAAGATGTCCAGCGCCTCCACCATACTTTATCACAAAGCTGGACTCAGTAACTAGGGAGGAACCAGTGGGAATCAGGAATCCAAGAAATGCAAGGAACAAAACTAAGCACACCAACAAGACATCCATACATGGACAAGAGCACAAGAAAACGCAAGGGCTTATATACACTGGGGTTAACAAGACTAACTAGAAAAAAGCAAAAGTAGTATTTAAAGCACCACCTATGGTCTGATCGGGGTGTGTGTGTGTACCTGAATAGTGGGGGAGATTTGGGACCATGCTGTCAAATTTGGTGCTTTAGGACTTACGGTTTTGACTGGCCAGACACTTTTAGGGCAGGAGAAGAAGAAAATCAATACAAATACAATAGGGTTCCGCTACCTTCGGTGCTTGGACCCCTAATTAAAAGATTTTATTTCCACATAAAAAACAGGGCACATGTGACAGTTTACAGTGCGGATGAAGTACTTTGTTACATTCAGTACTTTCTTTTCTGCCAAATCCATATAAACCCATAGAACCCAGCCCCACTGGAAGTTACTGGCAGACTGTAAGTGCATGAGTTTGATGACTTTTTCTGGCAACCATCCCAAAGAAGTTGTGGTCTAATCATCATTTGGGAGACTTTGGAGATAAAACTTTTTTTTTTGCGCGATTATTTTGAATCAAAGGACAAGAGGAGAAACCTCAAAACCAAATTTTTACGGTCTGTTTTGCTCATATTTACCAAGGGTGCCAATATTAGTGGAGGACACTGTAAATGCTTATCTGATTTAGTCAAAGAGGTTATTTCATAGATCTGCTGGACTCCTCAGTCATCAGTGGACCCCTGTGACCTTCTCTCTTTGGCTTTGTTTTCCAGTCCCACCCAAGCTGCACAAGAAAACTGACCATGCGACAGGAGCAATAAAACTGTATGTGACCAAAGCAGATGAAGAGCGTTTCCAGGAGTTTTCTGCATGCCAGAAGATGGGCCGGAAGGGACGCTGTCTTACGGTGGAATGGGTATGTCACGCTGCTCTATAATACATTTGCACTTAATTGGTTCATTTAAGTTTTAACTTCTTTCTCTGTCTCTTCCTTAATGTCAAGAATAATGCCAGCCATGAGTTTGAGCTTTTACCCAGCTCTGTCGGCCCCTGTCTGTGCTTTGAGGTAATGTTTATTTACATTTATTCATTTAGCAGACACTTTTATCCAAAGCGACTTACAAGCGATCGATCATAAAGAGGCAATAAAACACAACAAGTGCTTGTTTGACAAAGTTTCAGGCATGGCTTAGAATAGCACAAGCTAGAACAGGGTTGAATTATTGAATTAGTGAACAAATAAATAGAAAAGCATCATTAAAGTCATGCATATAAACATACAGAATAGATTGTTTTATATAAGTAACACTGACTAAAGATGGAAAGGTAATAGAACGATGTTTATATTTGAACATGTGGAAACTATGTAAAAACTGTCTACCGAGAAAGTAAATATTAGTTATGTGGGAAGCTAGTATTATTATTATTGTTGCAGTTTTTCTTGCTCTTTAACTGATGCTTATTCTCTTTCTACTTTTGCATAGATTTGGGGGAACTTTCCTCGAACCGAGTATTGTCCATTTTTGAATGAAACAGGTATGGCATTCAAATATATTCAGCCGCACCTTGGTATAGTCAGAGTTTACAGGCTGGAAATGGCGTTCTAGTAGGAAAGTACTGCTAGTGCTACAGTAGTAGGAAAACTTTCAGACTTTTTTCATGTTGAACTGAAGAGAAGGAAAGACACAAGTTTCAACCTCCATCTCACAAGCTCTACAGATTTCCACTGTAAGCACATTTAAAATCAGAAAATGAGACGGTTTTGTTTGTTTTGGAGGAAATCATGGAAATGATATTCTTCTGTAATCGTGCATGCGACAGATGCTCTCCATGGAGCGTCAGCTCAGGAGATAACAATGCAGTCCGTGCAAACACTGTAACATCATGAGTGTTTCGCTCTGGTTTCGTTCTCAGCTGTCTCAGGCGCCAGCGTGTCCGTGTCTTTGGCAGAGACTGAAACGCATCTCAAGGCTCTGGTCTGGAGCCTCAGTGCCCCCTGCAGGCTGGAGGCTCAGCTGTGGTTGTGTAGGAAGGGCTCAGGACTGGACAGAAGCTGCCATGCGGTCAACAGCAGATCTCAGGTCCACACCCGGCTGAACGACAGCTGGAAGGAGACTCAGCACAGACACTGGGTGCGAACATGTGCTTGAGATGTCAAATATGGTGCCGGACAAGTCACACGGGGAAGTTTAATCATTCGAGTTAGGGGGTCATTCAAATCACAAGAACGAGAACTGTATAAGCTATAGTAATCATGAGGCTTGACATGACCGTATAAGTAAACTCAAGTGTGCTTCTGAGCTATACTTCTCTTACACTTATTTTTCTTTCATCTGTTGCAGCAGTTAGAAGGAGAGTTTTTACAAGTGGAACGTCATCCTTCATTGTGTATGCAGGTACCTAATGTGTATTTTATCACGTTTGCAGTTCATTTCTGACATACCTGTGTGTTTTGGGGAACTGGCAGCATTGTGTCTCTTGTCCAGGTTAAAGTGTCAGGAATGGATGGTTTCCTGGGACCAGTATGTCCTTTTGAAGGCAAGAGCTCACATCCATTAGTTCTGCATAGAGAGCAGTTTTAACTTTAGTACTACAGATGTGATTGGGGGGGGGGGGGGGGGGACCATACTTGGCCACGTGTCACGTCACTTGAAAACGTCAGCACGTGTGCATCATGTCAGTGGCCACATTCACAAGGAGCATAACCCCTCCCTCCACCCTAGACTTTACCTTGGTCACATCTTTGCATATGAAGTTTGTAGAGCATTAAATTACATGCGCACGATCTACATAAGACACTGTGAAACTGACCTCAGACCATCAGACCGTCCTCTGCATCCCACAAAACCCCAACTTCGTGTATATAACACCTCAGCTCTTTCACAGTACTACAAACCGGGTGGAGAAATGGAATCATATTTAATGGAAATAATGTCACAATACAAAAAACAGGCTTGAATTTCTATGTATTATTTTTATTCTTTAGATTTTTGTGTAAAATGTGTATCTTTGTGATGTCTCTCTGTAACAGGCTGCGTGTTCAGATGGCTGAAGGTGGACGATGTGAAGCGTGAGTTTCCTTCATGCTCTCTCCTCTCACGCTGGTCTGTTCCTGTAGTTGTTGTGAGTGACAGTCATGTGTTTTCAGCTGCGGCGGGGGGTGTGGAGGTGCTGCTGGTGTGTCCTCCCGATGCGGACTGCACTGTCACTGACTCTGTGTGCCGTCTGTGCACCAGTCTCTCCGCCGTGGGCTTCCGCGTCTCTCTGGACCTGTGGAGCCGCTCGGAGATCAGCGCCCTGGGGCCCGTGCCCTGGCTGCACTCCTGTCTTGATCAGGTTCAGTGGCGCGGAGGCAAGGCAGTGCTAGTCCTGACCGATGCGGCCTGCGAGCGGGCCGAGGAATGGGGCTGTCGAGTTGCCAGACAGAGACCAGAAGAAGAAAGGCAGACGTGGGTAGACAGGGGTGTCCAGTCACTGACATGCTCCGAGGTCTTCGACGCATCGCTGAGCTGCATTCTGGCGGACTATCTGCTGGGTCGAGCTGGAGAGCGGTTCATGCTGGTCTGGTTTGATGGGCAGAGCCCTGCGGTGCTGGCCCTGCCGGAGCTCTTCAGGGGACTGCCTTCGTTTAGCTTGCCTTCTCAGAGTCTGGACTTCATAATGGAGCTCACGCAAGGGCCTCGTAAGGGACAAAGAGTATCAGAGCGGTGGGTGCGAGGGGGGGCTTTGAGAGCTGCATCAGGGGCGCTCCGAGGGCTGGCGGGAACTACAGGACACATGTGTGCAGGGCTCCCTCGGGACTCTGAAGAGCCTGGGACGGAGGAAGCCTGGGAAACTGTCCCGCTACAGGCAGACCAGTCGAGCCCTGCTCTCCACACAACAACAAATACTGCAGGTTGGGTCTAAACTAGTCTCAACCAGACCTTTGACTAAGCGGCATGAGGTCTGGTCCTTGCTGGGCCTTATTCTGGCCAGAAACAAGCCTCTTACAGAATTAGTTCATGCAAAACAGCTGATAAAAACATCACAATAATCCACAGCACTCCAGTCCATCAGTTAACATCTGGAGAAGACAAAAACTGAAACTAATCCAGCATTAAGACATTTTAACTTCAAACTGTTGCTTCTAGTTGGACTGGAGTGCTGTGGATTACTGTGGTGTTTTTATCAGCTGTTTGGACTCTCATTCTGACGGCACCCATTCACTGCAGAGCATCCATTGCTGAGACACTGATGCAATGCTACATTTCTACAAATCTGATGAAGAGACAAACTCATCGTGATCTTGGATGACCTGAGGGTGAGCACATTCTCAGCATGTTTTCATTTTTAGTGAAGCATTCCCTCAACATGTACTCAGAAGTAGCGCAGCTCAGTGAAATTTCATGAGTGAAATCCAGTCAGTTCAAAAGGAGTCGTGTGATCTGGAGTTTCGCATGAGGATTTTGTTCATGTTCAGGTTGATCATGCGGATTCACCAACATAAAGCAGCTTGGTTTGAAAGTGACTTCTGTGTGAGCTGTGCTTTATAAATCACTACTGATAATAGTCTGGAGCTTTTTCACCCATGAAATCTAATGTGACCGCACCTTTAGACACTGTGTGACCCACATGATGACCGGTGTTTAGGTGGCGGGTTCATCTAAAATAGATTCTGCAGAACATTTACTGATCAGAACTGCAGTTTATGGGGCGATATCAGAAACTGCCCAGGTCTGAGTGAACTCAGTCTGACACTGATGTAAAAATGTATGTATGATATGTAAATGTATGCCTTATCTCAAGCTCAGAACAGAGTCTGCAGGATGGACCAGAGCTTGTTTTACACAAGGAACCACAACTAGACCAGCTGGACTCCCTCTTGAAAACATGGACACACACAACATGACAGAACTCCAAAGACAAATATAAGAGAAGGTCAAAATTGTGAGAGAAGTCACTTTATTCCTCTGACTAATGCACAATTAAACTGCCGTGCCATATGGAGTATAGAGGAGGCACAAAGGCTGTAACACAGAAGGTAATAAGCTATATCTCTCATATCCGATGTAACCGTAAGCTTTTGAGTCAGGTGTCCAGTTGCATGAATGATTTGACTTTTTTTCAATATTTATGAAAAATATTTGTGGCTTCAAGTTGTATGCCTATACAGTAAAAAGTGTGACAACTAGCCCCAGTCTCCCTTATTGGTTTATTCGTATAATAATGTTCAACAACTAGATTAATTTGTTTTTATTAAATGGCATGTCAGTCCGCATGTGTTAAAAAAAAAAACATACATCCATATAAATAAATAAAAATATATGTCTCGCCATCAGGTTAAATAAAATGGGCAGGGCGATGACGATTCGTGATCCACAACTTTCATGTTGAAACACTGTTGCAATTTAACGAATCTAGTGTACATGAGCAATGCAACAAACGACATCGTTTATTTGAAGACTAGAGCTGCAGTGTTGCATGGATATAGGAACTCCAGCAGGCATTCAGTCATTCGGGCTCTGCAGACGCTGTTGTGCATCTCTGATCTGGCCTACATTCACCAGCACCAGCACCAGCATCAGCATCAGAACCAGCACCAGCATCAGCACCAGCATCAGCATCAGAACCACTCAGAACAGAGTCTGCAGGATGGACCAGAGCTTGTTTTACACAAGGAACCACAACTAGACCAGCTGGACTCCCTCTTGAAAACATGGACACACACAACATGACAGAACTCCAAAGACAAATATAAGAGAAGGTCAAAATTGTGAGAGAAGTCACTTTATTCCTCTGACTAATGCACAATTAAACTGCCGTGCCATATGGAGTATAGAGGAGGCACAAAGGCTGTAACACAGAAGGTAATAAGCTATATCTCTCATATCCGATGTAACCGTAAGCTTTTGAGTCAGGTGTCCAGTTGCATGAATGATTTGACTTTTTTTCAATATTTATGAAAAATATTTGTGGCTTCAAGTTGTATGCCTATACAGTAAAAAGTGTGACAACTAGCCCCAGTCTCCCTTATTGGTTTATTCGTATAATAATGTTCAACAACTAGATTAATTTGTTTTTATTAAATGGCATGTCAGTCCGCATGTGTTAAAAAAAAAAACATACATCCATATAAATAAATAAAAATATATGTCTCGCCATCAGGTTAAATAAAATGGGCAGGGCGATGACGATTCGTGATCCACAACTTTCATGTTGAAACACTGTTGCAATTTAACGAATCTAGTGTACATGAGCAATGCAACGAACGACATCGTTTATTTGAAGACTAGAGCTGCAGTGTTGCATGGATATAGGAACTCCAGCAGGCATTCAGTCATTCGGGCTCTGCAGACGCTGTTGTGCATCTCTGATCTGGCCTACATGAACCAGCACCAGCATCAGCACCAGCATCAGCATCAGCACCAGCATCAGCATCAGAACCAGCACCAGCACCAGCATCAGCACCAGCATCAGCATCAGAACCAGCACCAGCACCAGCATCAGAACCAGCATCAGCACAAGCACCATCAGCACCAGAACCAGCATCACTCCACTGAAAGAAGAGCCCAGATCAGATCAGCCCCAAACAAACAGACAGGAAGAGGAACTGATGTTGCAGCTCACACTGGGATTCAGTGCCGTAAGAGCTTCAGTCAGTCTAAGGATGCTTTTGAGACTCAAACATAAGATCATAACCACAACACACCATATGGCTCTTTCATGTCATATTTATTTATCACAGGTCCTGCTATAGTCAGGTCCAAAATTCTGAGACCACTACTGAAAAGTTTTTTTTATTTTATTTTTTTTAATATAACTTCATACCATTTTACATTTTTATAAGTTATATTATCAGCATAACAGTGAAATTGAAAAGTCGAGCACAATGTTTCATGTCACACGATGTCATAGGTCACACAGGAGTCTCACAGTCATGAACCATTGGGCAATGTCAGGACATTTTAAAATGGTAAATAGCAGGGATGGGGAAGTCACACAGATGAATAAAATCTGAAATAAAAAACATGCTTTTTGATATAGCGAATATATACTTTTCTAGAATATCTACTTTTCTCAGCAAGAAATTTCTCTGTAGAATAGCTTTTAAAAATCCTTTTCCAGTAATCATAAACTATTGTAAATAGCATGGAAATTCATTGGTTGAAAATGACAGACCTCTGACTTCATATGTCAAGATAACAAGTGAATGCGTATGTTAAAGCAGTGGAGCAGTTCTGTGTAGTGTGAGTGATCGGGACACTCGTGTGTGTGTGAGAGAGAGTGTGCAGGACGGGATGTGCTGGTAGTGGCCGCTCGTGTCAGTGCTGGTGCTGTGCTCTCTCCTGTCTGAGGGGACGGTGAGGACGGCACACTGTCAGACCTGCCGCAGACTCACTGACAGCTTTACCAAGGTCTGTGCCACTGCTGCCTTTAAACAAGACAGCATCAGATCTATTCACCATACAACATATGACTTTGTAACTCACTTCAGAGTGAAATAGGGTCTTCAATGAGCTTCAATTTATATGAAAAAAAGTAAATGACAATAAATTTAAAAAAGATAAATATCAGCACACTGAAAGTTACAGACAGTTTATTTACCAAAAACCAGTGCAGTGTTTCAGTCAGTCAGGTCTTCATCAGGCACAGTCCTCATCCTCACGAAGACCTGACAGCTCCAAATATTGCACTGATTTTCTAAATAAACCAGCTGCAATTAATAATTTGTAAAATCTACTGTATGTCATTTATAATGAATGTGCAGACATCTATCTTTTCTGTTAGTTTAGTTGTGTTTAAACACATTCTTTTATATGCACAAAGCATAACAAAACAAAAAATATTTTAATATTACATTTTAATATAAAAGTCTTACAAATAACAGAAAACCATCACATTTGCGGATCCTAAGACAGAGAAGAATTGTGAAACTATTGTAATCATCAAAATCACAGTCTTGTTCAGTTTTGCCAGTGAAATCTTTGCAGATATATTGTGAATGTTTGGCCGGCCTGCTTGAGCACCAGTGTGTAATAATCTATGCATCATTCTCTAAACCCGGTGTGAAGGTCTTATGTTGACAGGAACGTTGTTCAGTTCAGTTCCGTTGATGGTGCTTCTTTCATTAGGGTTTGGAGCGAACAGCCAATAAGAACTTTGGAGGAGGGAACACAGCTTGGGAAGAGGAGAAGCTGGCGAAATACGCACGCAGGTAAACATTAGGGTGGCCTTTATTAGGGGGTACTTTTTTTTAATTGGAAATGTTAACCTCTCACCCCCTCATTTCTTTCTCCACTAGAAGTGTGTAATGTATGCAAAATACCATCCAGATTATTTGTCATTTAGGGTATGCTCAAACATTTTTTTTAAATCAACAGGTACTTCAAGATCTAAATGGTGATATTAGCAAAGGTTTTGTTCACTGATAAACTTTTGACTGTTTCGATATCAGATGACTCTCTAACCATTAGGCCACAACTGCCCCTTTGTTTCTGCCACTGCTCCAGGTGTGTGTTCACGGTGTGTGTGTGTGTGTGTGAAATCTGTTTCCAGGTCCCTGCAAGAGTACTGTGGTTGAGGGACTTGTCGGATCATAATAAATATCTAGATCAGATCTCAGTTTTGTTCCAAGTTCACTTTTCTCACCAGTACAGTAAAGCCGGGACTCAAACTCGGGACGGCTGAAGAGCAACGGCGCTACATGCCGGTCTAACAACACTGTTCTGTGCTCTCGTTTTTCACAGTTTAGTAATGGTCTTGTATAATTATAAGTTACGTGTTGTTATGGTCATTGGAACAATTTCAGTTTTGTTGAGCACACCCTAAAAGTAGCCCAATCTCAGGGAAATTTGGTTTGTTTCCATTTCTCATGAAGGGCAGTTGGCTGAACGGGTGAGAGCAGAAGATTTCAAAAGTCCAATAATAAGGGCCACCCTTGTAAACATCTTCACTGATCCAACTCGCAGCGTTATTTCAGAGCAGAGGACTGTCATCCTGGTGTATGATCTTTGTTTCACAGGCTGTGTGTGTGTGTGTTTGCAGTGAAACGCGTCTGTTAGAGATCGTAGAGGCCGCATGTGACAAGCCTGACTTTGACTGCAACAGGCTGCTGGAGCAGATAGAGGACCAGGTGGAGACATGGTGGTTTCACAGGTGCCTGTCTTCTTCTTTTGTCAGTCATTAGGTTGGCTTGAGAAAGTGCTATTTAAGCTTCTTCTTCTGAGACTAAATTTGGACTGTATCTCAGACGAGATTTTTCAAGCTACAACCATCAAACTCGGGTCAGACATTCAGACTAGTCTGACTTAGGTTGCTATATCTCAGGGGTAGCGAACGTTGGTCCTGGAGAGCCGCAGCCCTGCAGAGTTTTGCTTCAACCCTAATCAAACACACCTGAACAAGCTAATCAAGTTCTGAAGGGTTATTAGGAAGCTACAGGCAGGTGAGTTTTAATTAGGGTTGGAGCTGTACTCTGCAGGGCTGCGGCTCTCCAGGACCGGAGTTCGCCACACCTGCTATATCTTTTCTAACTCATTGGACTTACGATTTTCATTAAACAGACAATCAAAACTATGAAAAGTCCCATATAGACTTTCATCGAGGGGGTCAAAACTTTTGTACAGTAAGACTTATAAGAGTGTTTAAGAGAGTGTTTAAGCTGTCTATCATCAGCAAAGCATAATGACTATACTAGGACAACATGCTAAATCATGTTAGCGACATGCTAATCATGCTAACAACACGTTAACAACATGTTAATCATTCTAAATACATGTTAGCAACACACTAATCATGCAAGCAACATGCTAACACCATGCTAATCATTCTAAATACACTGGACAAAATTATAAACGCAACACTTGTTTTTGCCCCCATTTTTCATGAGCTGAGCTCAAAGATCTAAGACTTTTTCTATGTACACAAAAGGCCTATTTCTCTCAAATATTGTTCACAAATCTGTCTAAATCTGTGTTAGTGAGCACTTCTCCTTTGCCGAGATAATCCATCCACCTCACAGGTGTAGCATATCAAGATGCTGATTAGACAGCATGATTATTGCACAGGTGTGCCTTAGGCTGGCCACAATAAAAGGCCACTCTAAAATGTGCAGTTTTA